CGGTTCTGCATCCAAATATGCGAGTGAGTGATTTGATTGATCAAACAACGAAGTGCTGGGATGATAAGAGACTTCACGATTATGTTGCGGCAGAGGATATTCCATACATTAAAAGTATGGCCATTAGTTCAACACATCGTCGGGACAAGTACTGTTGGAGCTATACGAAGACTGGACAGTATACAGTCAAATCTGGATATTGGGTAGCACGAAATATTTTGTGGAAGGAAGAAGAACCTGAAGTATGTGGACCCAGTATCACAAAGCTCCAAGCACATGCTTGGAAGATCAGGGCTCCTCAAAAGATTTGTCATCTTATGTGGCAATTGATTACGGGACATGTAGCTGTCACGAGCATCCTAAACTACAGACATATGAGATGTGACAATCACTGTCCTCGATGTGGGGAACCCGAGGAGACGATCAATCATGCAATATTTGAATGCCCTNACCCAGTATCACAAAGCTCCAAGCACATGCTTGGAAGATCAGGGCTCCTCAAAAGATTTGTCATCTTATGTGGCAATTGATTACGGGACATGTAGCTGTCACGAGCATCCTAAACTACAGACATATGAGATGTGACAATCACTGTCCTCGATGTGGGGAACCCGAGGAGACGATCAATCATGCAATATTTGAATGCCCTCCTGCAGTACAAGTTTGGGCACTATCATCTACGCCAACCAATCCCGTTCTGTTTCCAGGACCGAGCACGTACGCAAATATGGATTATCTTTTCTGGAGGAAGAATGCGGTAATGGAACCGGAATTGGACAGGGATCCTTATCCTTGGCTAATCTGGTACATCTGGAAGGCTAGGAATGATAAACTGTTTAGAGGCATTGATAGGGATCCCTTGGAGTTAGCGCGATATGCAGAAAGTGAATGTCAAGCTTGGTTCAAAGCCAATGAGAAGGAAACTCCGGTCTCCATTGGGAACGGAGGAGAAGACGACCAGGACTTAAACCTGGGTAATATATGCATGGTGGATGGCTCTTGGACCTCTACGAATGACTTCAGTGGTGGTGGATGGGTGCTAAATGACGAGTTCGGAAATGGCAAATTACTGGGATTGCGTAATTTTGATCGAGTGGAGTCGGCATTGCATTCAGAGTTGGAGGCACTGCGGTGGGCAATGGAGAATATGCTTCAACATTCGCCATGTCAGAGCTTTGGAACTGATTGCAAGGAGATGATTGAGATGCTCAGGAACCCTCATGCCTGGCCTAACTTCTCAACTGAGCTGGAGAGATTGGAGACGCTGAAGATCTGTTTCCCTGATTTCAAGATCTTTTATGTTCCTAGATTACAGAACAGTGTTTCTGATTCTTTAGCTAAGACAGCTAGGGCTTTTTACCGTAAGCTTGTGTTCGTTGGTTGTTCTATTCCGGTCTGGATTCCCAGACCACCTCATGTTGCTTGAGTAATAGATCAGCCGTTTGATGTCAAAAAAAAAAAAAAATATAAAAGAAACCCTAGCTAGTTTTACGGGATGGAGGATTTGCGTGTGAGCTTTGGTTATAAAGGATGTCGGGGAACGATGATGCGGCGAAGACAGCTAAAATAGAGGTATGGTGGGACATGATGGACTGTCCGATCCCGGAGGGGTATGATGCTCGTCAGGTCCGTCCAAGTATAGAAAAGGCGTTCACAAAACGTGGCTACTCTGGTCCTGTCTCCATCACTGCCTATGGCGACCAAATAGAAACCCCTTGCCACGTCCTGCGAGCGCTCTCTTCCACTGGAGTCGCTGTTGCACAAACCAGATCCGGTTAGTCTTTTCTTTGATGGTCATATAGTATAACAAAACACCCCCTTAAATTTTCTTCCAATTCAAAGATAGCACGCGCTCAGTCATGTATCGGGATATGGTGGAATGGCGAGGTCAGAATCCTCCACCGGCTACAATTCTGATCATATCCGATCAGGTGGAAGGTGACTTGTCCTGGGATCTGGCCCGTCTACAACAGCGCACTAGATACAGACTTTTTCTGGCTTATTCAATGAAGCCTTGCAGTGATAGGTTCCTGTTCCGTAATGCAAATTGGCGCTGGGGACAATTACTAGAAAAAGAAGAAGTAGGCACACCACCATCACTTGTAGCGGGTGGATTATCATCTGCTGCCATGTTTTATTGCAAATCGTGCAATTTCGATTGCCAAAGCCTGAAGAAATTCAGGAAGCATCTCTCCAGTTATAATCATGGAATGGAAGTAAGCAAGCATCCTCTCTCTCTATATATATATATAAATATCTCAGATACTTTTGTTTTATAAAATCTAAGTAGCAACTCTTTGTCAAGCTCAGGAGGCTATAATATCTCTGGACACACGACTCGTATGTGTAACGAAGAATTGGGCAAGGAACTACCCGGCCACGCCTGAACACGCCACTGCTAAAATACTGGTGTTGTGGAACATGAAGGACTGCCCGATTCCTGACGGGTATGATTCTCGTAGGGTCCGTCCAAGTATAGAAATGGCCTTCAAGGAACTAGGCTACTCTGGTCCTGTCTCCATCACTGCCTTTGCCGATCAAAAAGAAACCCCTGTTCACCACCTTCTAGCGCTCTCTTCCACTGGAGTCGATTTTGCACATACCCTTCCCTGTTAGTCCCATTTCCCTCCCTGCTGTTATATAATAAGTAGGGTTTTAATTTTTCAACTATATCCAATTATTTCCTTTGTTGAAACAGGGGTCGAATACAGTCGCATGGTTTCAGATTTTGATCGATGGGCAGATGATAATCCTGCTCCGGCTACAGTTATGATCATATCGGATGAACTGGCTTTGAGGAAGTCCCATTCATCACTGATTTGCCGGAGACTACAAAAGTTTAACTACAACTCTTTTTTGGCTTATTCAGTTAGGCCTTTTGAAATGCCAGTCCTGGCCACTTCTGCAGAGTGGCTCTGGGAAAGCTTACTTGCAGGTTTGTTCTCTCATCTTCCACTACATTACCACCAAACTAGTTAAGTTGAGCTTTTGCTGTTTCCTCCCCAGTTTCAGAGACCAGAAGACACATTCTTCACAAGTGCAGTGAAAGTGAAAGGGTTGTTGCATCTACCGGAATGTTTTCTTGCAAATTGTGTTTATGTGATTGCAAAAGCCTGGATGATTTCAATAAGCATCTCTTGATTAAAGAACATACAAAGGAGGTACGCATCCTCTCCCCTCTCTATCAAGAAATAGAAGATTGTCTAAAAGCAACTACCTGTGTAACTCTTTCTACTCGTTGTCAAACAGGAGAAAAGAATAATTACACATTCTCAATCTTTCCCTCGCCGGCAAAGGCTATATAAAATATCCAACTACCATGATGAGGCAAGTTTTTTTTCTCTTAATGATATAAGATTCTCAACAGAGAAAAACGTGATAATGATATTTTCATTTCATACATGTTGTAGGTAGGATATCCTCCCAAGAACAAACGTAAGAGGAAAGCACCCTGGAATGGTTTTCTCCCAAGATCATTACGTTTTACTAGACGTTGATTTTGTGTTCTTACTAATATTTTTCTTTCTAATCTATGTTTCCCCTTGATGTATTATTTATTTCTCGTTTCTTTTTGCTTGTGCTCAAATTTATGCTTGTCTATATTTAAATTAATCTCAATGCATGTTTCTGTTTAGTACGATTATGATTTATTGTTCAATTTAATCATAATCTACTCTATTAAAATAGAGTCATTCTTTTTATCCAATGATACAAGTTGTCATTTAAATTTGAACATTTTCTAGAGTGTTACAAATAATACAAGTCATATAGTTGATTGAACCGCATTACTTAAATTAAACCGGCGATTATTTATGGAATAGAGTTTTGGGCTTACTTTTGTACATTTAATTGTTTGGTTTTTGGGCTTAGTATTAAAGAAAAACTCCAGAAAAAACATTAAATAAACTTTCCACCTTAATGGATCAAAAATCAATTACTATTTTCAGGCCCAAAAATATTTAATATTTTCAACAAAACAAAATTATCTATTATTAATAACTTATTTAAATCATGTATTTCAAAACATGTTAATATTTTATGTTAATATTTTTAGCCCAAAAATATTTAATATTTTAAAGAAAACAAAATTATCTATTATTAATCACTTATTTAAATCATGTACTTTAAAACATGTTAATATTTTTTATTTTAAATAACAATCCATCTATCTTGATAAATTTTAAGGGTAACTTTTAAATAATTTATTGTTTTATTTTTCTTACATAATTTACAGATTTAAAAAAAAGTAAAGCAAAACCAAAAACCAAATCTAAAAACTAAAATCCAAAACCAAAAGCTGAAAACACAGGTTATTTTTTTTGCATTTTTATTACAAAATAAATTATTTCAAAATTTTTAGAAAATTATTTTGTCATCTTTTCAGTTTTAAATTACATGTTCGATTAATTGAGATTTGTTTGTTGGTAATATCAGTTCAAACTAACTTAGTAGGTCTAAAAATTAAAAACCCAAACCAAAAGCTGAAAATCAAAAATAGAAATTTAAAAACTAAAAACCAAAAATCAAAATTTAAAACAAAATCTAAAAATAAAAACTGAAACTAAAAATTAATGAATAACAACTATCACCACAAATTTTAGTGAACTGATTTTATCCCAAAACATTCTTTAAAATAAGATAAAACCCAATTACATAAATTTTTAATCATAAAAAATTTATGCGCTTGAATTATATGTTTTGCTTTTTTTATTACAAAATAAACTATTTCAAATTTTTTAGAAAATTATTGTGTCATCTTTTCAGTTTTAAATTCCATGTTCGATTAATTGAGATTTGTTTGTTGGTAATATCGGTTCAAACTAACTCAGCGGATCTAAAAATTAAAAACTCAAACCAAAAGCTGAAATCAAAAATAGAAACTTAAAAATTAAAACCCAAAATATCAAAATCTAAAACAAAATCTAAAAATAAAAATTGAAACTAAAAACTAATGAAAAAAATCATCACCACAAATTTTGGTGAACTGATTTTATACCGAAACATTCTTTAAATTAAGACAAAACTGCAATTATATAAAATTTTAATCATAAAAAATTTGGGTAATATCAGTTCAAACTAACTCAGCGGATCTAAAAATTAAAAACTCAAACCAAAAGCTGAAATCAAAAATAGAAACTTAAAAATTAAAACCCAAAAAATCAAAATCTAAAACAAAATCTAAAAATAAAAATTGAAACTAAAAACTAATAAAAAACAATCATCACCTCAAATTTTGGTGAACTGATTTTATACCAAAACATTCTTTAAATTAAGACAAAACCCCAATTATCTAAATTTTTGATCATAAAAATTTTCCGCGCTTTTAAGCGCGGGTCAAAATCTAGTTTATAATTAATCTTCTACCCTTCGTGATATTACTACAAGAAACATGCAGCACTGATGCAAATAACGACAGCTACAGAAGAATCATCATACATTTGTCGTTGTGAAGTTGCGAGTTTTTCGTTCGTCCTAAATTCCTACTAAATAAACATAATAGTGGTCGTTAAATTTCATTAGTAAGCTGTTGTTAGACAGATGTAAAATTAACAACCAATTTACAACACCATCTGTTGTTATTTGCAGACTATAGGAGCTTAGCCTAAAAACTTTGCAGGGGTTGTTACATTTTTTTTTTTAGGGGTTGTTACATTGTTAGGCCTGAATTTCGTAATCGTACTAAAAAATCAAGGAACGAAACCTTGCATGTTTTCTTTATTAAAAAGAAAACATGACTGAAAAAATAAGAGTGTTTAACTATTTTCATACTGTAAACATGTAATGCAAAGTGATTGATGGTTGCAGTGCAGTCTTGCAGGTGTTTCTGAATCTTAGTTCGTAATTCGTATGATACATCTTGTTGTCCAATTTATTTTCAATATATATAAACCACCTATCTTGGATCAAGTTTTACAAAGAATTACCTAACATGTGTCGGTTCATGTTGAGATGATGTACTTCACTATTTAGATTCGATTTCGGTTTAAATCTAGTTCTTGTTTCAGTTTTTTTTCTGTCTTTGGTCGGTTTGTTTTATGAGTTAAACAAAAGACGTTGTGGTAAATCTCATACTAAAACTCTTGTTCGACATGTGAAGTAATGCCTATAAACAGCTTATATAAGCACCATATAAAACAAACAAACACTGCTCTCACTTAAATAGAAAAAACGCTACTGTCACATCGATTTATGGGGTCTCTTTGTTCTCTCCTCCACTCAGGTCATCCTTCATCTTTATGGAAGCAACAACTTTCTCTATGATGCTCTTAAGCGCAGGCGCGCTAACAGAACACTTGTTAGCCTCAAAACATGACTTACCTCGTTCTGCTGCTCTACAAAGCTGTGGATCCAAAGGAACTTTCCCTAGAAACGGCACTCCCATCTCCTCACACATTCTCTCAGCACCTCCTCCACTGCTGTCAAACACTTGGCTCCACACAAAGACACCATCAAGTAGCTCTGGTGCATTCTCTCTCACGCAAGAGATCATGTCTTGCGTCACGTCCACGGAAGAGCCGGTCTCTGTCGTCAGCTTCATGAACTTGACATCACTCACCGGTTGAGTTAAACCACTCATGTTCTCCACTACTCCTAGCACATTGACCCCAGCTTTCTTGCAAAATTTCACTCCCTTTCTAACGTCAGCCATGGCGACTTCCTGGGGAGTAGTAAGGATGATAGCACCGTCGATCCCCGTAAGGCACTTGACGAGTGTGATGTGTTCGTCTGAGGTTCCTGGTGGGGTATCAACCACAAGGTAATCAACGTGATCTCCCCAGTAAACGTCTTTTAAAAACTGTTTGATGAGTCCGGTCTTGCGTGGACCTTTCCAGATGGCAGGATCACCATCAGAGTCGGGGAACATGAAAGATATTGACACGACACCGAGGTTGTCTAGACCTTCCAAATAAACCGGGTCCCATCCGAAGTTGCTCTTGTGACTGTATTGCCCTTCGAGCCCTAACATTTTCGGCATGCTTGGACCGCATATGTCTAAGTCCATTAGGCCTACTTGATGGTCCATTCCGGCTAGGGCGAATGAGAGCTGTGCTGAGAATGTGCTCTTGCCAACACCACCTTTGCAAGAAAGAACCAGAATCTTGTGTTTCACGGTAGCCATTCTTTCAGCTATAGCATCCAAATCTGGACCAAGACATAAAATATAGGCGCTTAATATCACATTAATTAGCTTCAAACAAAAGTCTTCTAGTTGTTACAAGGTAGAGTCTAGTCTAACCTGGGTCAGGTCCCATAGGGGCAGTGCCACTGGCACATGCTTGTTGATTAGGGCAACCTGCGCAAGACTCTGACTTTCCAGCAGTTTCATCTTGGGGACCTGGGCAATCTATTATCACCAGCAAAACAAAGAACAATAAGCAACTATTAGGTTAAAACATAGAATAAAGAACCCATGATTAGCTCAAGCAAAAAAAAAAAAGAAACTGAAAGATTGAATTGATATTTGCTTACGCTCGTTGGCGTCCTCTGGAATCTCTCCTTTATCCATGTCGATTTGTGATGTCTGATTGGTTCTTGACAAAGTTGAGTAACTCGGTTATAGCGACGACGGCGATTTACAAATTAATGTGGTTCACCTTTAATAAAATATACATGCAATTTCCTTATTTTAAGTATTTTCCCTTTTCCTTATTTACAACTTTTTTGATATTTTCTAGAATTCAATCCTACGTTAGAAAGGCATAACCCTATGTAGGTTAGGAATATTGTGCTTTTTGATAAGTATACAATGTATGATTACTAATAAAACAACTATTTGTCATAAAAAATAATAATTATCTTATTATATAAAGATTAGTTCTTCAAAATTATTAACTAATATGATGCGTGACACATAACAATAAATATTTTGAGATTATGATATGTGTTATATAAAGTTTGGTTCTTCATAATTGTTAATTAATTAACATGATCGTGACACATGATATAAATACTTTGAGATTATGATATGTGTTGAAATATTTATCATAAATATAAAATTAATCAATAAAAATTATATTTGATTGTAATTTTCATAAGTCCTAAACAAAAAATAATTGTAAATAGCTATTTCCAAGTAATTTTCCTTTTGTAAAAATCCCAATTTTCAATTTTTATATCGTACACAAATAGAATTATAAAATAAATAGTAGTTTTCAAAAAAATATTTTTAAAAATGAATCATGTATAAAATCATACAAAAATTCAATAAATTATTTAATAAACCTAAAACAAAAACGAATTTAAAAATACTAACAAAAAAGATAGATTTAATATCAAATTTACTTTTTGATAATCCTAAACAAAAGAGAAGTGTAAAAGTAAATTTTCAGTTATTTGTTTATAAATAACTAACTTTCAGGTTTAATAAAATTTTTACTATTTTAAAAATCATAAACCAAAAAAAGAAATAGAAATACTCACATCTTTGTAGCTTTGCTTTCTCATATTATTTTCACAAAACACAATAATATTTATAACATAAACATTATGTGTGTATCTTTTTAATTTTTTTGATACAACTCTAATTTTATTATTATTATTATTTCTACAGTTATATGATGGTTATGACGCACGAGTACATGTGAATATGAAGAATATGTGTTTGCAAAAGTATAATGTCATTTTATTAAGACATTACGTTTGTACATGTTTGTAGGGGTCATAAATCATTTTACCATATTTTTTACCTTTTTCCTATTTAGTATTTTTCTTTCTAATTTTTTTTATTTGTTATTGAGAGTCATCAAGTAAATAATGAACTCATACAGATATTTAAGACAAGATTAGTTAAGTAATTTTTTTTATTGTCGTAGTCTAGTACATTTTACTAGAAAATAGAAAGCAAAGAATGAAAAAGAATAACGAACTTAGAAAAAGATATTTACTACAAGATGTTAAGGTAAATATATTATTTTTAAAAAAAAACTTACATATATTTAATTATTAAGTTTAATTTATTTATAAATATAAGAAAATATAATTCAAGGACGTGTACATTAATTACTTCTAAAAAAGTCTAAAAAAAGTGTGAAAACGAATTACATGAAATAAATCTTACTGAAACTAGCAATTATAATATGCAAGTTTGCATTTGAAACTACAATGTCGTTGATCACAAATTAAATTGTAATTTATTAAATAAACAACATATGCATGTGTAGGACAACAATTTTCTTCAATTATCCCTTGAAAAAAATGATTTCAAAATTATGAATATTTTGCTAATTGAAAGGTATAACAAACTACTTAATTAGGTGTATAAGCATAATATTTAGATATATACATGTACAGTTAAATAATATTATTTTGTTATGTAAACGAATATATCAATAATATGGAAGAGCTTATATTTGTATGTAGTTAAACTACACCCATTCTCTGAAGAGTTACTCCAATTTTATTGTCAGGATGGTTGGTTTTACTAATGGTAGAACAACACATAAGCGTTTCTAAATTCCAAAAGATCTTCATCAAGACAGTAAGCACAATACAATCATGCTTTCTGAATTACTTGAAAGAACAAATTTCATCATTTTGGATGAAACATTTATTGTGTCATCGCTTTGTGTTTGAAACTTTTTATAAGACCTTGAGAGATGTATTTTACATGAAAGATTCAGATGTAACAAAAAACCATTGGCAGAAAAATAGTATTTCTAAGTTGTAATTTTGATAAACCATATTAGTCATACAACAAGAAATGAGGAAAAATGTTGTTATAGCAACATTCAACTCTTCGTATTTATGGAAATATTGTTTTATATCCAATCTTAAGAAAAATATAAGATTGTTCCAAGCTTAGAAAGATTTGACTAAATAGTATTGAGTATCTATGGCGGTACAACGCTTACACCAACAAAATACAAGAAATAAGATCAAAGCTTACACACCATAAGTTTATATTTGTCAAATTTAATCTTCTTTCACTGACAATTATATGTCACACTATTAAGAGTCACTACAACGGTAGGACTTCAATCTTAAAATAAACACAAAACATAATGATAGTAGTGTTTTAAAAATATCAAGAAGATCGTTAATATATAATATACCGAGAAAGAGATGAACTTCACACCATGTTGATGAGACAGTAAATAAATTTGATGTTTGTTCAACAACATAATTGTCATTGAGTTGACTATCAGGAATCAACAACATAATTGTCATTGAGTTGACTATCAGGAAAAATATTGATTAATGTTATGCATTAAGTATTTTGAATTGTGATGTTTTAAATTGTTTTAAACCATAGAAAGAATGTGGAGGATTTACACCAATAACTTTTTATATATTTCAGTTACCTACAACTAATGTTATTTTAAAATAATTTAAATTGAACAAAAAATAATTTAAGTTGAACTATTTATAAATTAAACAAATATTTAATAAAGTATTTTAAAGCACCATAATTACGATAAAAAAATGACAGATACCAAATTATTATTCATTAGTAAGTCTAACACCAAAATATACAAAAACCTAAAATTGATGTACAATTTCTTTTCAATCTTTTTAAATGTTTGTAAGCAAACACTACAAGAAAACACGTCCTTTACTAGGACGGGTTTTCCTCGTTATTTCCTAGTAAAGGGCCCTTTACTAGGAAATAGCGAGGAAACGTGTTTCGTCGAAAGACGTTCATCGTAAAGGCTATTTTCCTCGTAAAGGCCTAGCTAATTTACGAGGAAAGTTTTCCTCGTAAAGCCGTGGAAAACATTTCCTCGT